CTGCCACTCCAGTCGCCGTCGCCCCGAAAACTTCCGTTGCTTAAGTTCTCTACTATGACAGCGACGGCAACGAGGACTTGGCAAAACAAAAGATCTAATGAACAGAACAATAGCTCAGCACGTGAGTCTTAAAACTGTGAACATTTCCTAACCATCCTTTGCACAACGACAACGTGAAATCAACAGAATTTGCGTGGTCCGATAAAGAAAACCCCGAAGGCAGATTATTTAACTTAACTGGTTTCCATTTGGAACTCAACGCCGCTCTCATACGTTATGCTGAGGTTAACTTGTGGCGCCATAAGAGATGGTAAGCACATCCAGTCATTCGAGAAATTCCAACTAAAAATATGTATTCATTTTTAATCTACGTTTTCCTTGGCGCTGCCGTCCTAACTGCTAAAGGTCCCTGATCTGGACAATCACGCGAGCGTGTGAGCGGGTTAAGACAAACTGTCAACCCGCTTAAATCTTCAGTTTAGTCCGCAAAATGCGCCACAATTCCTGGCAGAGTCATACTAATGGATAGGCCTTAGTATTTTGGTTAACTTGGAGTCAAGAAAGATAAGAACAAAGCTTTTGCGTAAACTCAATTTATTTTCTATGTCATAATTATGACTAGCATCTGCGGTAACCTCCAAAACAAATCCATATTTGGCCTCTATTTTTAATCTGTGAAAGTCTTTTTTTTTTTTTTTAATCAATTAGAGCAAAGATCTCACGCACCTTTAACTAGTGTTTAATCAATTATTTTAGCTGGTCAGTTTGTCGAGGAGACATATTACCATATAGACAAGTCTTTGAATCTAACGGTGGCTATAAGTTTGTCGTGAATGCTCTGTCTTTGAGGTAAGTAACCAAAACTGCTCGAATAATCTATTCGTGTCGATACATTGATGAAATCAAAGGATTGGGAAAAAAAATCAGCGTAGCTTAAACTCGTCTCCAAGACTTACCAAATAATTCAGCGAATTTTTTTTCCTTACAAAAATATGGGAGATGGGAGAGGACCAAAAAATTAATTAACAAAGGAGTAGTTCCAACAAACTCTATAAATATTAAGGTTAACATCAAGACTGTTTTTTTCTTCTTTTTTCCTTTATTTATTGCTTTATTTCTTTTCTCTTTTTCTTTCGCTTTTTTTTGGTTCTGCTAAGTAACGAAAATATGCGAGTTTCTAGAATGTAAGATTCAGTACAGGCCAAGGGGATATAATTACTAACTGAATGCATTGACAACTCGCGATGAATTATGGTTATGTTTTCTTTCCATTTGCTGTGTCTCTCGAGAAATTTAAATGCATTGAATTTCAATTTATATGCTAAAAGGGTAGTCTGCAACTTTTTATCAATTATATAGATACCGGCTTTTATGTGGTTTTATTGCGACCCTCAAAATCTCAAACTGATACCACTTTGAGAGTGTTTTGTGCAACCCCAGCTGTGGTCGCTAGACGGAAGCGACTCCATTTTTTTTCCTGGAAGGGGGGGGGGGTGTGTGGAGCTAGAGTGTGGTGTAAACTAGATTTATCATTTATTTTCCATTGGAAGGTTATAAGAAACGGCATGGGAAAGTAGGACTTCTAGTCTCCAAGAAGACATTAAATTCTAATGTAAACATTCTTATCATGATCACGATTGTAATTCATGGGCAGGCGTCATTCACAACCCTCGTGAGGATGTTACGCGACTGGTTCAAGTTTATGCTTTCCATTCCTCGTCACGAGCCAATGAGTAAAACGGAAAAGTTCGTTCAGTGGTCATCTTTATTAGTCTACTGCTTAGGCGGCCTCACATTTCTGGCAGTGCCCAAGCTCTATGGCATCATATTGAACGTAGAATACACCGGTCGTTCTGAAGGTTACGTACGCCTGGTCGGCCTTGGAGTTGTAGAAATTGGATTTCTTTTCATAATCTTAGCACGTTCCACTGTAAGAATACATCGCTATGGAACCATTTTGGCTTCTGTTGTTAGCCGTCTCGTTTGGGTGCCAGCGACGGGGCTCATGTTCATCCTCAGAAATATGGTCCCTTTCACGTTCGCGTTAGTCTTCATGGGCTTGGATGTGTTGCTTTCCCTGAGCACCCTGTTTATATGGTGCCGGGAAAGGGATGGTTCCTCACTGGGAGACTTCTTAAAAGAGCTCCTGGCTCCATTTCGAGAATGTCACGGGATGAAAGTAGGAGGAACCATTACAGCCGTGTTTTTTGTGGGCCTCATTCAAACAATCTTTTGGTACGTGTTAGCGGTGAGACCCAATTTTGCTCATAAAATGTTTGTTCTCGATGATTTGGATGGGCTCACTAGTGGCTATCTAGCAGCGTTCCTTTATCTGATTTCCATTCATGGCCTGTACCACGTCCTTTGCGCCAATAATTTGAATCATCCCTTCGCTCTAGCCTCAGTTAGCTATCGAGTTCTTTTGGATACTCCAGTCTCTTTTGTCTTGCTTCTTGTTGATCAGATAGAAAGAAATCTCTTTCTTACGATTATGAGCTTCAACATGTTCATCTCCACCATCTTTTTGGTGTTTCTGTCACGTGAAAGACTTACCATTACAAACACCAGAGAAGACCCACCCGATGTGCAAGCTCCCACCGTTACCGAAGACAATTGAACTACCATGACTACTTAGTATGATAAAGGGGGTAAGTTTCTAAAGAAACTGTGATGCTGTGTCGATGAGAGTATAACAGGGTAATTAAGTATTATCAACTGGGTTGATAACGTAAGTTGGCTACCAAAAAGAATTTCAAAGCTGACGTTCGAGCGTTAGCCCTTCATTATTCGCTCTGACGAAGGGCTAACTCTCGAAACGTCAGCTTTTAAACTCCTTACGATGGCCACTTTACGTTATCAATTCAGTTAATTATACTGAAATTAGGTAGTATGATAACTCGATAACTCGGTAACTCGAACTTTCGGTAAATCGTACCCCCTTCTTTCCTCTCGGATCATTTCATGTATAAATTTACCCTTGACGACTCAAACCGTTTTTGTCAATTTGAGTAAAATCGAAAAAAAAGTATTTATAGTCATAAGCAAAAACCTGAAGCAAAACATGAAAACTATGTAAGCGGGCAGTGATTTTCAATAACCTGTGGGGGGGAGGGAAGAGATCGTAGGATTTAAAGTGGGAACAAAGGGGGAACAGTCGTCTCCAATTAACTGAGTTTAAAGGAGAGACTAACAACTAATTGACTACTTATGAGGTTGGATCACTAGAATACTACAGAGTCTTGTGGGGGATCTGGTAACTTTTGCTGTGACACAACCAAAGTCCTCTGACGCCCCTCCATCCCATCCCACCCTTCCCCCCGTTGCTAAAAAAGACTGGTCTCTAATCACTAAGAAGTGAGCGACAACAATTAATTCAATATAGTTTAGTTTACAAATTTATTACAAGAACTGATCAAATTACAAGTTTTATTACATGCTGCGATTAAAAAAAATGCTTTATATTTAAAACTGTGTTCAGGTGGAACACATTGAATAAAAACCACGTTTGGTTTAGTTCCAGTGACCTCCATCTTAGCACGCCAAAGAAGCGACTGAATTACAACATAAACTACTGCAAGTCTTAAGTGATTTGACTGCATTTAGCTTCAGTTTGACGAGAGAGGAGCCTGTGTAAGATAAAAAATGATATTTATAGATCAACTGAACTCTAAAAACGAGAGAATATGAGAGGTGTCTACTTCAACCTCGATGTCAACTTCAAGGTACACTCTTGACATGATTGGCTCATTAGTCAGATCACTAATGTCGCTCGTGAATACAAAAAAAGATAATAAAAAATTCGAAAAAAAAACACATACCGAGGAGGGAAAGAAAGGAAAATTGCAGCAGAAATTAGATACACCTTCCGCGCCACTCGATAGCGACCTCCATATTTAGGACTTTCGCTAAAGAGACCTGACACTTTTGGTTAAAATTTCTTATCCTTCCCCTCCTGACACGGACGACGGTCAGGTGTCCGTGAGTGGGGAATGTTGAAGCTTCGAATTGACTGGCGCATGATACTTACAAGTTTTGTGTTATTTCTCCTTCGTTTCGCAAAAGCTGCTTTCTCTATTGGGCCACTTGGCTCTTCAGCCTCAGTCAACGCCTTAAGTTGCACCTCCCACTCAAGAAAGTGCCCATCTTCACTTCCTTGCTCAGTTTTATGCTGTCTCAGAGAACTGGTTCTTCTACTCCTTTTTCTGCCCCCTGTTATAATCTCATCGTCTACGATTGAGTCTCTTTGAATTGTCTCATAAAAAGAGCTTACACTGCCTCCCCATACACGATAGGGCTTGTACTCAACTGTAGTAATACTAGTTCTGGTGCGAATGGGAGGTAAAACTTTAACTTCTTTAATAGCAGGAATGCTTGGTTCTTCGGTTTCTACGCATGCGGACGGCTTTACATCTATATGGCTTTTCTCTTTGCTTCCGAAGTCATTTTTTTCCTTCTCACAAGACTCACTGTCATCGTGATTCCCTTTTCTGTTCCTTTTCCTAACTGAGGTCAAACAGGGCTGCACTCGGGAAAGAACTTCATCTTGATAACGCGAGCAAGTGCTTTTAAAACGAGAGCAGGTAACTCCCATGTTGAGTAGGAGAAACTTGAAAACCATTGCATCGTAAACAAACACGTCAAACAAACGAATGAGGTCATGGAAATGATCTCTAACCATTTTGACGTCACCATTCTAGATTGAAAACTTAGCTTCTCTTGTTCCGCCATTATTTTTTTTTTAAACTTAACTTGCTCCATTTAAGTCGCATTACCGAGATGGGTTGGTCAGCTATGGGTGTAATTAACGAAAACCATTCAATGAAAGTAAGCAGAGGGTTTCCATATGTTTAGGCATACTTTATGTTTTTAGCATATGTCATCACTACGTTTCAACAGCTCGCCAAAAGAATATGGGCATTTGGAGTCGAATCTCGGAACTCACTTTAATTTGGAGTCAGACAGCAAGAGGAATTTATTATTACTCGCTAAATGTGTCAATACGAATCCTTCCTAAAGATTGGTAAAAAGTCTCCGGCCGTAGATAATTTCGCAGTTTACCTCTGCGCGCGCAGCTTCGGGTTGTTCGTACGCCTGCGTGATTTGTGCACGATCTCGAGTCGGTCCAAGCAGTATTTGAGCAAAATATTTCGGTTTTCATATCAAGCACGAAAAAGTCAACGATTTCACGAAAAAAAATTTAATCTGTGTGATTTTCTTAAATTTTCATCAACCCTTTGAACACATAACCTGTCACCGTTTTGCTGGACCATTGTGATTCTTATCTAACATCTTTCCGGAAAATTGGCCAAAATGACGGTCTGCATTACTTGATCCACACTTCTACACACGTAGGGTGAATGCGGCGATCTACATATTACCTCACCCAAACACCATCAACAGGGACAGTGGAATAGAAATCCTAGATGCTCGGTTGTCGACGATCAAGTAACACAACAGCAGGAGAGCCGTGCGTAGAGGGAACCTAATTCGGAGATGTACCAATCACTGCTTTGGAATTCTAGCCAATCACAGCTAAGCATGAGAGTACATATGTAATGCGCACTCAGTCACCTTTATGAAGTTACAGTGTTCATCTTATTTAAATTAAGTGAAATGTAACCAAGATTCTGACAATTCTAACCTGTTCCAATAAATATAATCGAGTCCCTAAAAACATACACCGTAAAGAGGGGAGATGACCATTATTTCTGAAGTCAACTAAATATTATCTGTTCATCGAGACAGCAAGTCAGTTGGGGTAAATTTTAATTTTAAGTTAATTAAACTCGATTTAATTAAAATTGACGAAAGCAATCTGGGGATTTTTTTTTTCGCTCTGTGATTGTTTCAGAAAACTCGCACCACTTTCTTAACCAATCCGATGCAAAACTAACACCAAGCACGAATTGGTCGCCCGTGTTTTCATGCGTTCTAAGCGGTTTGCTTGGTTGTTATTTCTTGCAAAGTAAAATTTAACCGCAAACCATATTTACAACGAGCGTAGTACTTCAGTGGTTTTACAGACGAACGTAATGTCGTCGCCGTGAGGTGATGTCTTTCAGCAAGTTACAGGGAAGATAAACCTTTTACGTTGGCGAAATTCTTTCTTGTTTTGACCGGTTCAGCCTCTGGAAACAAGGATTGAGAACTTTCCGATCCAATCTCAATAGTACGGCTTTCCTTGGGAAACAGGAAGCACAAATTCCATCTTGGAAACCTCAACAAGCGTTCGTTCCTTCACGTTGTCCCTTTTCTGGTTGCTTGGTACACTTCATCCATCAATTCTCTCACGGCAAAATTGTAAAAATGTTTGTTCACCCGTTTAACGTTTTCTAATTCCTCTTCAAGTTCTCGTCGCGAAAGTTGTCTTTTTCCTGTTGTTGCAGTTCCTTGCCCTTCAAACTCTGCGACCTGCAGGAGTAGAAAAACTGGAATTAGCGTCATCTTCTGATTTATTCGAGCAATTTTCGATTGAGTGCCGAGTGCAATCCGGGATTGCACTAGTTTTGGTGAAATTTGCTCCGTGATTGGTCCAGAACACTCGCGCCACTCTGTCAACCAATCAGATTCAAAACTAAAACCTATCCCGACTGGGTCACCAGCGCTTTCCCGCGCCAGCAGCAGTTTGCTTGTTTTTATTTTGAATTCTGATTGGCTGTTTAGGGTGTTTTCCTTTATTATGATTGGCCACTGTGGTCACTCTATAATTGGTTTACGACACTCAATCGAAAAGCGCATGTAATAGTTTCCATTGGCTTTTTCCAAGTAATCAACGAACTTTCACCGTAAAAACCCGTCAGACTTCTTGGGCTGCATGAGAACACAAGAGGCCATTTCGTGATTAGCTCAATTGAGTTTTGCATTCGATAGGTGGGAGACGAGGGCGCGAATTCTCTAGCAAAGTAAAGTAAAAGCAAAGAAATGTCGGATTACTTTCAAGTCTCAGTTGAAACTTACTCCACATGTAACGCGAGATTTAATTAGTAGGTCGTATATACTTTATAAAGGGGTAAGTTTCTAAAGAAACTGTGGTGCTGCGTCGGTGGGAGAGTATAGCAGGTAATTTAGTGTTAACAACTGGGTTGAAAACGTAAATTAGCCACCGTAAAGGGTAAAAAAGCTGACGTTTCGAGCGTTAGCCCTTCGTCAGAGCGATTGTTCTATCGGTGGCTAATTTACGTTTTCAACCCAGTTGTTAACACTTAAGTTTACAAACTCATCGCAAACGTCTCACTTTACTCCCCCACTGGGTGTAAAGGGAATTGAAATTGTCATATTATCCTCCTCCCCTCCCCGGCAGAGGAAGCGGAGATTGTGTGAAAAAAAATCTGTTATAAATGTAATAGGAAAAGAAGGTGAAGCAAGAAATGTCGTACCTCGGCAAGCAGAGGTAGCGCAACACTGTCCCCAAATCTTTTCCTTTTTTCCGAACTATTTTCCTGTTTGAAAATCAAAGTAAAAATATTAAGTACAAATTCTCATAGGTAACGTAAAGAAATGCATCTAAATCACTGGGTATAATTTACAATCCAGGTCTCAAGTCCATACCTCGCTTATTTTTCCCTTCAGCGTCATAAGAATAGCGTCAGAGTTGGAATCGCCATCACTTGTTCCCGCGGGACCGGCGACGTGTTTTTCACGTGATCGATTCGGTACATGCACGTGCCGTTTTAGAGGCTGGATCGGAGCAAGGGATGATTTTGGAGATGGGTTTTCCAGGTGTAAAGGTTTTGGAATTATCTGAGAGTTGGTCACTGCACCTGTTCACAAAGAATCAAGTATATCAACGTGAAAAATTTAACCCTTTAACTCCCAAGATCTGATTGTTAATTCTCCCCTCTAGCTGCTACACATTTTCTTGTAAATCACCCACGAGAATTTGGTGTTAGATCAAGATAGCAACTTCTACCTGATAAGTATGAGTATTCTCATTACCTGTCTGCTGGATAATGAATGCATATTGTAGGGAGAAGCTACACGTTAATCACTTCTGAGAGTGAAATGGTTAAGCTTACCTTTGTGGTTGACAACTCTGAGACACTGCCTACTAGGAACATGCCAAACACGTGCAGTCTGGTCTTGAGAGCCAGACAATAACAGAGTTCCATCCATAGAAACTGCTAAACTGTTGACTTGTTTACTGAATAGAGATAAATAGAATAGTCACTCACACAAAGTTTTCAACATTTTGAACCTAACACTGTGCAGGAGGTGTGTCACATATGAACCTGGTCTGGGAATGGCCAGGGTCACTGTAGAGTCTCTGTGGCTCAGTGGTAGAGAAAAAGAGTGAAAAATCTGAAGATTTGTGGTTCCTTTCCTAATGGAAACTCATATCACTTCTCTTTGACCCATGCTTGTAACAAGACAAAAAACACTTTTCTGAACAACAGTCACTAAAATTATTATTTTTGGTTACCATCACACAAGACAAAAACATATTCCTTTACAAGAAAGATGAGCCATCTAAAAATTGCCTTGCTCTCCAACGTATTGATTCATAGCTCAGTTGGTCCACCTTCCAGCATATTGGGCTTGAGATTAAGAGATTTAAGGTCAAGTTTGGCTAAAATTGTCCATTAAAGTTCTGAGAACCTGGAAAATATTAACCCTTTAAAACCAATGAGTCACCAAGACAGAATTTCTCCTTACAATAATAATGCAATATCAAGCAGAGAAGTGATGAGGATAAAGAAAGATATCAATTAGGGGATGATCAGTTGATGCAATACCAAAATCTCTGGACTAGCATCTTAAGAATTGAATGGCAGATGGTAAGGAGAATTACTTAGAAGATCTTTGGAGTACACGGGTTAAAATAATTATTGGATCATTAGATGCTTGAGAATATTACCTATGACCATTGAAGATGAGGGCTTCTTCTTTCTCCAAGTGAATGTTATTCTTCATCCCCTGTATTTCAAGATGGAAAAATATTAAGTGGTACTGAACAAATGGCATGAAAGATAAAATCAGCATATAACCTTGATGCTGTAATTAGAAGCTGATAGGGGCCAGGAAACCCTCAGCTGTTGGATCATTCTGTTCCAGCATCAGCAAAATCATGGAGGTTGTTCGATGCATGACTTGCAGTTTTTAGTTCATAAAAGAGGAAAGTAAAGGCTACTCTGAAAAATTACTTTATGCTTACCCTTCTAAAAAGCTCTACTTGGTAGATGTTGCCATCTGTTCCTCCTGCAAAGCAGTTCTGTTCTGCAGCATCCATTGTCACAGCTGCTAATCCAACATCAAACACAAATGAACATAAAAGTTCACCAGAACTCAGGCTGTACAACTATGAAAAAAAAAAAAAAAAAATGGGACAAGTGTGGAAGACTTCATGGCCAATAGTAATGGAAGATGGACTCTGGATAAGGAGGTCTGGGTTTAAGGCTTTACACCCTAATGTCAGTATGCATATTCTCCATACAGTTCTCTAAACATTTCCTGTGATATTGACAAGGAGAATTTGTTTAATGATCCAGAATTTTTTAAGTTTTCTATCATTTCCATTTTTCTCATGACACTGCACAGCCTTAATGCCTGCAGGTTTTTTTTGCTAGTCTTGACCTCTAGCTTCAACACTCCTTGCAAAGAAACTGTGACAAGCTCAAGTAAATGCACCATGTAGCTAGTCTCTTATCCAAACATTTTTCCTTTTTTGTGGCAAATTGCAGTTATTTACATCACACCACTTATATCCGTCACTCATCAATTTTAGTTATAAACCAATACACCAGTGACATACATTCAACCATGGCTGATAATACCATTGCTATCATTTACCTTACAAGTTTGATCAAGGGATGAAGTGATCACATGACCTCTCATGCCCCCACATCCACAATGGATATCAGTGACAGGAAGGGCATGATCAGACCATGTGTACCTTGGAGTTCGTATTTCATCTGAAGTTCCTACGCTGTTTGATGAACCAGACAAAATCCTGAAAAAGATCATAAAAATTCAACAAAATGTAAAAGTATTAATAATATTTCATTTTTAAATGTGAAGATGCCTGTGTCATATTCTTCAAAATTGCATTTTTCAGCCTTTTTCCCCAACCCTCCTGAAAAATGCGTCTTGCAGGCTGCCATTAAAGATCTTTTTCAAGCAGCAAAAGAACTCTTTTTTTCTGTGGGGATTTACCATTGAAATATTTGAAATTAAAGATATCTGAAATTGAAGACTTTTGTCAAGGTACATGTATGTGGGGCTTAATCAACTACCGGTATATTAAGTTATACAAAATTCTCTGAACTGAAATTATAAGCAATGTATTGAAGACAGAGTAGCAGATTTCCAAAAACATCTTGCAAGTGAAATGGTTAAGGTTCTGTAGGAAGAAGTTCTAGAGACTCTATATTTAAGAACAAAAGTTTCCAAGAGCTTACTTTGCCATTTTCCACACCATCACTAAATTATCATCACCAGATGACAAGAAATGAGATCCATCATCGGTGAATTTCAGACATGAGACTCGCTGGAAGTGTCTTGAAAGTAACCCAAGTAAATTGCCACTTGCAACCTTTGAAAGAAAAGGATGGGTGAGCTGTGGCTTTATAAGCCACTAGGCTTGAGTACAGACTTTTTTATCATGTTTTGGGATTCTAAAGACTAACCTGTTTTCTAAAATGCTTTTAACTGTATGTTGATAATACAATAGTGTATACATCTTTAATCCAATAATTATAATTGTAGCTTAAGAACACTGTTAATGAACTAGTCATGAATTAAGTTCTTTTTTTTGTTACTTTTTTTTAAATTTCTTTTTCACACTGAATGACTCAAACATACCTGCCAAATATAAATTTTCTCACCACAAGCCACCACACAGTGGTTACCATCAGGAGAGCATGTTATGGCTGTCACTTTACCAGGGCAGATTAATTTTGTGAGAACTGACTCCTAATATAAAAGGAAATAAAAAAGGAGTGAATAGGAATATGGGGAGGGGGGGGGCACTTCAATTAAAATTTTCAACTCATTACTGGGTTCTCAGCAGCAATAAACTGAGATCAGGAAGGAATTGTCAAACAAAATCTCAGAAACCAAACCAGAAACCAGGTAGGTTTAAATCTAGCTCTAAAATGCCTTAACCCTCAAAACCCCTAACAGTGACCAGCATCTCACTTCTCATTACAAAACCACCCCTAAATCACACATTTAGATCATGAGAATATGGGAAATGATCACCAACAATAGCAGCTATTGATTGTTAAACAAATTCTCCTTGTTTAGCACCTTTGGAAATGTACAGAGAACAGTAATGAGAATATGCATGCTGGTGTTGGGGTGTAGAGGGTTAAGTCCGTGATAGCTAACATTCATTACGAATTCACAAATCACTGGATCCTTATTTGAAAAGCACCAGTTACATTTGAATTATACACAAAAAAGATCAAATTATCTATGCCTGTAATATAAAAACAACAAGGCAATGAATCCTTTCACGTATGGTAAAAATGCAACCACAATCTTCTAGAAATTTTTAAAACACCTCAAATTTTTTCCTTAAATTTAGCAACAAAGACACCAACCTTAGCCATGCTCCACGTGTGGATTATAGGTTTATTTGACTGTGATGCCATGATATAATCTTTACCGAGAAGTGAAACGCATCTCGCTTGGCAACTTCCTCCTTTGTAAGCTTTTAGTTGCATACCTGAGTTTAAATCCCATAAGGATACACAGAAGTTATCTCCAGATGATTCTGTTGTCAGTGCTACCTCGAAGTCCGCCATCTTTGATTTCTTCATCACGAGCCGACAGTCATAAAAAAAATCAGCGGTGTCCTCAAACTCATGTCTTCTGTTGAGGAGAAATTAGGAGATTAAAAATAACAAGATGGCTTCCGTGGAGCTTTCACAAGTTTATGTGCCTGTAGCGAATTACTGTGTCCAGATGATGAACTCTCTTAACGAGTTCCGGAAACACAATATCTTGTGCGAAGTAGTGATTGTGGTTAATGGAAAACAATTTTTCGCTCATCGGAATGTTTTGGCGGCGAGTAGTCCCTATTTCCGGGAGATGTTTTCGAGTAACATGCGTGAGCATTTGGAAAACAAGCCAGTGATTCTGGAAAACATCACTGCAGAAATAATGGAAGAGTTGTTAAATTTTATCTACACCGGAAGCATCAAGATTACTCCCTTTAACGTCAAGGATTTTGTTTCCGCTTCAAATTATCTCTTGATGACGAACTTGAAGGAAACTTGTATATCATTTATGAAAGCCATGTTAAATCCCTCGAATTGCCTGGGTATCGAAGCAGCTGCATTTAAATTCAATTGTACTGCTCTACGAAGCACAGCTAGTCAATACGTTTACGATAATTTTGTGGCTGTCTCGCAAACGGATGAATTTAAGTTGCTCTCTGCCGACCGCTTGGCAGAATATCTCGGCAGTGATGACATTCGAGTCGAACGCGAAGAACAAGTATTCGAATGTCTGATGCAATGGATAAACAATGATATAGAAGTTCGTAGAGGCTTTTTTAAAATACTTTCACAACATGTTCGTTTTCCGCTCATGTCTCCCTATTACTTAGCTGATCATGTTGAAACTGAAGAGATCGTACTTTCATCTCCGGAATGCACATCGTTGATTCTAGAAGCAAAGAACTACCACATGCTTCCAGATCGCAGACACCTGATCAAAGGTTCTAGAACCAAACCTAGACGATCTATGGGGGTAATTTCTGTTATATTTGCTGCCGGAGGAATTCAAGGATCGACAGTAATGAGGGACACTTTTGGGTTTTTCCCTGCAGCAAATAGATGGAGTCCTTTAGCGCACATGATCATCGCGCGATGTAGACACGGATTAGCAGTTACTGGAGACATGGTATATGCCGTGGGTGGTCAGTCACGAGAAGGTATGTGTGATGAATAGAGTTTTAACGAGTTCATGTAAGGGTTAGATGTCATATTTTCGTGTAGGTAATGAGGTCGGGTGAAAGTAAGAGAATAATGTTATTTGAACAGCGTGAAAAATATGTAAATTTATTTTTTTGCTGTTGTTGTTGTTCATAACTACGGCTTTTTGTGAGTTATTTGGAGTTAATCCTGAGAAGGACCATTGGGGGAGAAGTCAATTGAGTTATTGTTATTACTATTATTGTTATTATTACTAATATCATTATTATTATAATATTTATTAGCATTAGTATCATTATTATTCATGGTTTTAGTAGAGGTTACAACCTGATTTTGTGCAATTTGGTGTAAACAAGAATGAGAAAGTTTTTCAAGAAGAACAAAATTGCCAGGCAAGTGCAATTTGTAGTCTTGAAAAATTTACAAGTGTTTATTTGTACCAAATTACATGAGAAATCAATCACAAGTTATTACTTATTAATGATTTGCACAATAAGAGCATCACAGAAAGTCAAACAGATGAAATTTTGACAGTGCAGTCCTGTCACAGCTTTGCAAGGTTGGTCATTACTGTTTTAGAATTGAGATCAATTTACCCTTGAAAACTTAAATTTTCAAAACTTTGTCCTTGGTCATATGATAAAATACATATTGACTAAGTTAGATAGGGCTGGACAGGAAATTAATTGGCTCTCAATCGTGTTACACAGCCTCATTGGGCCTGGTCTGTGTGTCATGACCTCAAGCCAAATATTCATGTCTAGCCCTCCCACTTAGTCAATAAGTACATATTATAGGCAGCAGTAGTCAGCACCAGTTACTAGTTTTTATTTAAACTCTTTGTATAATATGAACGTGTTATACAGCAATATTTTCTGCCTACAGGTGCTGCCCAGAGTTCTCTGAACTCAGTGGAAAGATATGATCCAAGAACAAACACATGGACAATGGTTGCACCCATGAATATGAGGCGCAGTCTGCTCAATGTTGCAGTACTTGACGGTGAGTATTATTTTATCCCTATGCCCAGTTAATCCTTTACACCCTAATATCAGTATGCATATTCTCCACACTGTTCTTTATACATTTCCTAAGGTGCTGACAAGGAGAATTTGTTTGCCAATCAAAAGTTTCCTTCCCTGGTGACCATTTCCTTTCTTCTCATGACCTTAATGTGTGATCTAGGAGTGATATTGTTGGGAGATATTAGATGCTAGTCACTCTAAGGGTTTAAAGGATTAAATACGAAGCAGCAGTACACAGGCATTCTTTCTATATTCACCCTTAACACCTTAACGTTAGTATGCATATTCTCTATACTGTTTTTCATACATTCTTTAAGGTGTTGACTTGGAGAATTTGTTTACCAATCAAGAGCTTCCTTAGTTGGTGTTCATTTCCTTTATCCCTGTGACCTTATTGTGTGATTCAAGGGTGACATTGTAAGGAGAAATTAGATGCTGGTCAAAGAGGGGTTGTCTATCAGTCAGAGGACATACATAGGATAGCATTAAAACTGGATTATTTTTCATCACAGCAACTTGTTGCATAAGTTCAAAGTTCAAACCAACTTACCTTGTTACCAAGGCTGTTACTAGTGGAAGAGAAAAGGGAACAGTTGCCTAAAAAAATGCAACATTTTTTTAATTCCATCTTTTTGTGGAGTGTTAGACAGATAGTCTGAACTTTGTAAAAATTACCTTTAAACTTTTCAAATCCAATTCCATCATCTTTATTAAACAGCCCAAAAAAGGTTTGACCTATAATGAAAAGTGTACATTTGCATGTGGTCATAGTTTCACCTTTTATTTTTTTCTTCACATTAGGAAATATGTATGCTGTGGGTGGCTGTGATGAGAGTAACTTCCGACTCAACAGTGTGGAACGTTACCACCCAGCAACAAACACTTGGTCATTTACAGCACCCATGACCACTTGTCGCAGCAGTCCGTGTGTGTTGACATGCCGTGTACTGTATGTGATTGGTGGAGTAAGCTATGTTGGAATGTCACTTAACACTGGAGAGTATCTTGACCCCATGACAAACACGTGGAGGGCAATTGCCCCCATGCATTACAAGCGAGCGAGCGCATCAGGAGCAGCAACAAATGGAAAGATCTACATCATTGGTGAGCCATGTTTACTTAGTGTGTAAGAGTGATAGGCATCTAATTTCTCCCAATAGTATTACCCCTGAATCAAACATTAAGGTTATGAGAGTGACGGAAATGATCACAAACTCAAGAAGCTCTTGATTGTTAGACAAGTTCTCCCTGTAGGTACCACAGGAATGTATAATAATGGTGTGGAGAACTTGTATACTGATGTCAGGTTGTGAAGGGTTTGGATCAAATATTGTGAGATGTCATTTAAAAATTCAGTTCAATGCAATTTCATATTATTTTTTTAAGGTGGCTGGGACGGTTCTGTTCACCTGAATAGTGGTGAGGTGTATGACCCTGATATAGACCAGTGGTCCTTGATTGAACCTGCTAGCACTGCCAGATGGGATGCTGGGATAGCTGTAGAGAGTGACAAAATCTTCATTGTTGGGGGATGTGACAGGAATGCACTTTGCACTTTGGAAACAGAGTGCTATGACCCTGAGAAAGATAAATGGAGTAAGGTGGCATCCCTGCCAGTTGCAACACATGGAATTAAGTGTTGTACCATCCAGCTTCCACATAAATTTGCATAGCTATCTCAGTATGTGCAGTCTGTCACTCAATCCTGTAACTTGTAAGATCTGATTAGTATTTTATTTCTCCTTCCTGGCAGCTGTATGCTTCCTGGTAAATTTTTTAAGGGAATTTGACATTGTATCAAGATGGTACTTTTGCAAACAAAAAGGTTAAAAACTACACAAGGCATGTACAGAAGTAGGTGTACATGAAGGATATGATATATTTCACTGAGGCAAATTGTTATCTCAGCAATGACAATGGTTGATTGGCCAGCAGAAAATGCATAACTATGTTGTATATTCAGGTGAGGGTAGGCAAGTGGTTGTTACGTGCTAAGGAAGGGGCCCCTCTGGACACTTATCTCCTCCTTGCCCCCCTTTCTACTCTGGCCTCACAATTAGCTCTGTTCCCCCACAATTAAAAATGTACCTCTTCTGCTACAACATATGCACTTGTGTGAAAATTGAACAATAATAACCTGAGACTTGGTTCTCAACCCTGATTGGATAGATTTGATACCATTAACCTATGGAGTTTAAATGTTAGCTATGAATAACAGTTGTTTGTGGGACACAAGTTGTTGATACTCATTTTATTATGGGGTGTCCAATTTACTGAAAATTGATGTAGCATGTTGATTTGGAACACGTCTGATATTTGTAGCTCCATAGAAATGTTATTTACTAGAGATGTTTGGAGTCTTTTGCAAACAGCATAACCAAAGGCATAGCCAGCCTATAGGCCGGCAGGCCCAGGCTTTCATTTTTCTGTCTGCTTGCTTGAGTTTTGTAATTTGACTCTTTCAAATATTGAGAAAAAAATTGAACTTTCTCAGGAACTGGCTTACAATGTACAAGTTAAAAAGCTGGCTACACCCTTTATAACTGTGTAAGGGAGAATGGTTTTAATTTTATTTCCATTAGAGAAGAAAAGAATTATTGCAGGTTGTTTTATGAAGGAAGCCCAAGTAAAAATTTAAGCATATTGTGCTTTTTCCAATGGTGAACAGCAAATTTTAAGTGCTGACACATAAGAAATTAAGGCACCTCTACAGGATCCTTTTAATTTTGTCATTCCTCACTCATTTTTAAAACTTCCTTTCCCCCAAGCAGTTTACTTCAATGGAAAGGTTTGATAGATAAAACTCAATGTTGTATTTAGGGTGGGAAGCAGGGATGGAAGGGGAAAAGGAATTCCACTTCAACCAGATAAGGAAAAAAAAATGTGAGTTAACCCTTTAACTCCCATAAGTGACCAAGACAGAATTTCTCCTCACAATATCAATACAATATCAAGCAGACAAGTGATGAGAATAAAGACAAATGTTAATTAGGGGATGATTGTACATCCAATACCGAATTCCCCAAACTAATATCACAAGAACTGTATAGCAGACAGTAAGGAGAATTGCTAATGAGATCTTGGGAGTTAAAGGGTTGAGACTTTTAAAACTCAATGTTGACCATGAAGTTCATAATTTCTGGAATAACATAATTTAAAAAAACCCATGGAATTTCACTGTTTGTTAAATTGTACATTTAACAATTGGTTCATACGTCAGCGTGCGTTCATCGAGATATGAAGCACGCGGGAAGTTTGGAGAGCACGAAAGATGCGTAAGAGTTGCTCGAGGCGTAGCTTCTAGCTTCTTGAGTGCTCTCTAAACTTCCTAAGTGCTTCATATCTCGATGAACGCACAGCTGACGTGTGAACCAATTGTTTTATAACATTTTCAACCGGATGGAAAATTTTTTTCTTGAGGGATCTGTTTGCTGACGTCATGAGCGTGCACAATAGGGATATGAAGCACGCGCAATTGAATTTGATCGGACAAATTTACCAGCTATGTTATAATATTGGATGATACCATTCAATATTGATTACTTTTAAAAGATACATGTACATTACTACGTATGTAACTATCTTGTATAGCT